CCTAAACCGAGAAATAGTTATGAAATGTCAATTGAGTTTCAGGTATGAAAGCAACGATTGGTTACAAAGTAAAGTCAGTTTATGATATTAAAATTGTCAATTGTCTTATAATTTAGTGACTCAAAATTTTGAATAAACTTGCAATTACGGTGGCCAGTTTATTTCTGCATGATGTACGTGTATCCATACGGGACGAAAATTGAAATTGAAATTTACTAGTTTAGCCGCTTTTGGAAATAATAATACGAGTCTACAAAAATGTCTGTTCCATACTCTAAATCTGCCAAGCAAGTGAACATAGACTGCATGTTTTTCTAATAAATATTATCTCAACGTTGGTACTATATTAACTGTAACCTCAATTATTTTCGGAATATCAATACACATAGGGTTGCCTACATTAAGAATAGCAGACTTTCAAATTTTCCACCAGTTTTTCTTTAGCTATCACGGAATTTCAATACTCGAATTTTTAATGGCTAAACATGGAACTCAAAATATACAATTAATTACCAATATTATTCAACAATTAGATTTTAATGATATGACTTTATTTAATTATCGCGTTCATACTCGGCTTGAATTATACAACCCTTTCCGTGTCTAATGTAGCAGAAGGCTTTTCGCTCACTCCGATTTCAACTAGTAACAAAATAGTGTCATAAGTATGCAAGCACAAATGCTAGCCGAAATGAAATCGTGTTACCCGAAACACGTTTTTATTCAAACTATATTGTCATTAAAGACTTTCGGCGCCGAGCAATGGACAACTTGATTAGAAAGTGAATATAGCTTTACATAAATTTCTTACTCGCAAATTACCGACAGAGTCCAGTCAAATTGACAATCCTCCTGTGCTAGTAAACAAACGTCTCATAATGTTACAGTTTATAAACCAACAATTCTGGTTTTTTTTTGGAAACGAGCGAAGAATGTACACTGACGCTTGTGAGTGAGTTTGCCAGAATAAACTCTCTGTCAGCATACAAGCGTAATGATTTCGACATTGCAACCGAACACGTAATTGGATTTACCGAGTACGGTAAGTATTACATAATTTAGTATGCAACAATATGAGTCCTCGCATCGGTGCCTGATTCAGTACCAAAACAGTACTAATCAACTTTGTTATGGTGCTGATTCTAACAAACGTCCAGATGCATATACAGTAGTGGCGGGAAATAATGAGACTTTTACGTAATTATTTTAACTAATAATTACACGTTTCCTGTCTTATTCATTATAAAAAAATATATATTACACCAAAATAACAAATTTATAAATAAAAGTAATATTTGAACTAACAACGCATTCTTTGTCTATATTCATAAAATGTCTAAGCAACTTATTTTGATCCAAAGGCGATTAGCTGTGTGAAAGTGGGGATTCGTAATGTATTTCAAATAGCCCTCGGACTAGTAATAGTATTATTCTTAATAAATGAGCGAGTGATAGTTCGGATTTTAATAAGCTCTTTTTTTGCTGAACAAATTATCGTTTGATATATGAGAAACGTGAATTGAGTACAGTCGTACTCTTTATAGTCACCCCTCTCTATAAGCAACACATGTAAAACCTCTTTATTAACACACCCTGCTTGAGAACCAATTACTGTGGAACTTATAGAAAAAACCCTCTATACAGTTACAACCTCTTTATAAGCACATTTTCAACAAAAGTTGCGTTGTTTCCGACTGTGTGACTATAAAGAGGGGAGGCAATCATTTCGCCGACAATCATTTCACCGACAACCAACATTATTTCAAAATTATCCTTTTTAGGTAATTAATTGTCGGCGAAATGAACTGTCGAAATGATTGTTGATACGGACCCAAATTACATAAATTTTTAATTGACATACACCACATGTACTTCTTTATCCCGTCAGGATTTATTCCTACTAGCGAGTCAACGACGCTGGGTAACGAGAAGCAATGCAAGCTAACATAATAGTCAAACAACTTTGCAATTGTGGATACACCTCTTTTTTTTTCGCTGGAATTCAATTTGAGTCGAATGCGCACACGAACAAAAAAGCGATTATTCTTTTGATAAGCGTGCACAATGTTCATTAATTACATATTACACGCATACTATATCAGCGATTAATTTACCACACGTATAGTGTCTGTGATAATGTAATTGGAATCCATGAGAAATGAATTACAAGACGCATGCGGAACGGAGAATTTAGGCGATTATCGACGTGCTTGCAAATGGAACACGCGGTCTCTAATAGCCCTAATACCAGTTAGTATGCCTTTTATGCTCCTTAATTGACAAGCAAATCTTAGACCTTAAGATACTTGTCTTGGCGTGTATTCGGTAGCAGTATTATAGTTACAGTAGTATGACAGTTACGTAGCCCGCAGTCCCACAGAGATATGATCATGTGCCATATGTGAAATATTAAATCATTCCCAATAACAAATTGCAACGCACAGATTTGCATATTTACTAGAACTATACATAACGAATAACGAAACGTTACTTTTAGATTTTACTTTGATTTGATTGGTTGAAGTGTCATCTAGTTCACATTATCAGGTCCATTATATGTTTTATAATGATGCGATAGGTCTGATCAATGACCCGTAAAAGACTCGATAGGCAAAAGGCATTTTGAATGATAAGAAGTACCAGTTTTACTGTATTTTTATGAGCTCAGCCACACATTCATACAAACTTGCACTAGCTAGGCTGGATAAAGTTTGTGGCTTAATGTAAACAATCGCGTGTCATTGTCGATGTAACAAATCGAAATGTTTGTTCCCACCAACAAGGTTACATAATTCTAACGCTAAACCCGTTGATCCAAGCGTTTATTAAGAGTATATTTCTAGCAATAAAATTGTACAACATAGCATAAGCGATTAGATGAATCCAAACATTTCATGACAATTACATCACTAATAAGGGGTTGGTATGCTGATTCGAATTTCAGCCCAAAATCTAGATCTTGTGCGACATCTATTTAACGTTTCCCAAATGCTGACCATTCCCTTCTCTCGATCATGATGACCGAACTGCTTTCAGGAATTCTTGGAACGGATGCCGCAAGAATAGTACGTCGTGGATAACTTTATGAAACGGAGTTTCGTGGGGTGTAGACAGACTGGAAAAGTAATGAAGTGGCCATGAAATTGTAGATTTATCCTGACCCTTTATATCTTAGCTTGCTCCCGTCTGGTTGGTGGCTTATGGAACGCAAATAGCCGGATTCGCCATTTCTGCTCCGCTGCAGTCCGAAAAGGTGTTTATACCGCGTACTATTTAATATTGTCGAATTCTTACATTTTAATGTGTCATTAACTTGCCTGATTTTTACTATTCATTCGTATGATTTAAAAGTTTTATGATCTGTTTGGATGGTAAACTAAAGTGTGCCCATTGCGTTCGATCCTTTAAATGCTTATACCGCTGCACTGCTAACCTGTCTACAATTCCACCTATGACTTGCATTCACATCATCGCTCGTTTTTGCGATTGCAATCTCACCCACCACGTGGTTAAACAAGTTTGACACAGACTATATGTGGCCTTATTTCCTACTTGCAGCCTGCTTCTTTAGTCTCACCATCCGAACCCACTTATCCACCAAATACCTTCCCGATTACGCCCCCTCCCCCACCACGCTATCATACACGTCAAATTATAGCGACTACGCTGCAAACAGTCTGGTCCCTGCGCTTGGCCGTATACCTGGGCTTGCGAGTAATGAGGAAAGGGGGTGATTCAAGATTCGAAAAGGTTAAGCGGAGCCCTGGAATGTTTCTAATATTTTGGCTTGGACAAGCACTATGGATTTTTCTGATTCCTCTTGGAGTTTATGGCGTTAATGCCGTGGTGAGTAGGCGTTCTAGTTTAGATTTGCAAACTCTGTATTAGTAGTGTTTGTACGTATGTCTGGAAAAGTGGCTACGATTGACTCAAAGAGCGGCTATCAATGTCACCGCTTACTAACATACGCAATACCCATACTCAAATAGCCACCAGAGCTACATCCTCCTATAGGTCTCACTGATTTGTTCGGAGTTGCGTTATGGTTCTTTGGAATTACATTTGAAGCTATTGCAGACATGCAGAAGGGCGCTTTCAGCAAAGATCCTAAGAATCATGGAAAATTTATAAGAAACGGATTGTGGAGGTACATCAGTTGATTATTAAATTGCGTTTTATAGACTCAAATATGACTTAACAATTTGAATTTGTAGAATAAGTAGACATCCCAATTACTTTGGAGAAATAGTCTTGGTAAGCTTAAGTAACAAGACTAGACGTTATCTGAGAAAGGAAAAAATAAGCAATACGTTCCAGTCGGTTTGCACTATTACTTGACCGTAAATCTACGCGAACATTACGCCTTGTCTAATTGCACTGGTTATCACACACTCTAATTTGCCCTGTTTTACATTTCTCACGTTTGTCATTGCTTGCGTTTTTTTTTCTTTCGTCAATTTATCAGTGGGCGGGTATGACTCTACTCTGCACGCCGGCCCTTGTTAAAATATCGCAAAGTTATCCTGAGCGCATCAAACCCGCAGTTGCCTACTCGACTGTTGTCAGTCCCGTTTTCACAACATACTTGCTCAATATGGTAAGCGGTATTAACATCCTGGAAAAACAGGGGGATAGGAGATGGGGACATCTGAAAGAATGGCAAGAGTATAAAGAAACAACACCTGCATTGGTGCCTTGGATTGGATGGTGGTGGATGAATAAGATGAAGAAAGATGTTAAGGCGGCACACGGGAAGAGTAAGTAGATTGGTTTATGAGTAAATCAGAGATGAGCATTTCATTTGATATGTAAAGATGGTGAACTGAGACGTTCATGCAATTCAACGTTTGGTATCATGGGATTTCATGTGCATATTTTTGGAAAGTCATCAAAATAAAAAAAAACATCGCAAAGCGATGGGAGTGGTAGTCAAAATCTCTTCAACAAAATGGCGGTTAAGGAACGAGTCACTGACATGCAATTGGATACAAATAATACGATCATCAACTATACTACCTTTCAAATAACAAAGGTTTACATAACTTACTGTAATTTGCATAAAGCAGGTGAAACGTAGGTTCCAATTACGGTGAACTCCCCTCCAAGTGCACGTCGTCGGGACTGACAATGCGCTTGCATTTATGCATTAGAGAACACCAATCATTTTGTTTTACGCGACTTTTTTGCATTATATACTATTTACTGTGTCGCCAACGCCGTTAACAAATTGTAGTAAGCGTTGTCGAACGAAATCCAAACTAACGGAAAAGACGTTTATTCAAACTATTCAATAAAAAAAAGTTTATTGGAGATTATCATATGCAGTATATTATTGTAATATTTGTTTGCTTCCGAGAAGCATTTTTACAATCATACGTAATCGTACTAATCCACGAACCTGACAACATTTTGCTGTACGAGATATAATGCAAGCGCAATTAAGTGCCCACGTATTATTACGGAAGAGTCTTTCCTTTTTTATTAGATACGTGAGAAGGAAAGGCTTGATCTTTATCGCCCTCACCCAGCCAAAATACGTATGACCCGAATACACGTATAAGCACTTAAATACGATTATGTAACGGTGAAGATATCGTGGGGTTTGTTACGTGACTGTTTACTACGTCTACGATCACATGATATTGCATTTCGTATAGGAGATGGGTAATTGCAATTGCAGAATATAGGACGTGCACTTATCTCGTAAGTCCCATCATGGGCTGAACACTTCATACGCATTAGGGAGAATTGAATTTAGGTTGCATTTAGAGAGAGTTCACTGTATATGGTTGTGTATAGTGAGCTACCTTTTCGTTGTGTGGTTTATATCAATGAGTGGACGTTCAGCTAACATCGAACTCTAACCATCATAGTCATTTGGTCAGTTTACACATTTGGTTAGTTAGAACAATCAAATTTGGTAATGAACGATATGCTGTGTACACTACTTCGCTAGATGACGACCGATAATATTCGGCCAATACCATAACATTAACTAATGATTATCAAGCATAGTTTTGTTCTTTTCCCGTTCAAGCGACTTTGTGTGTCTGGAAGTAGAAAGCAACAGGTAATTGTACCAGCGATGAAGACCGAAATTGATATTTCTATTACGATTAGTCGAGTAGGTAGTTGACCCGATGATCTATACAATATATTACATAATATTTGGTCCAAGTTAAAGTTAAAGAAATCGTTTTAACCTTGAAAGTAGTTTACCGGTTTATCCTACTTTGTTCGATAGAGGAGCATTCACTTACTATTCGTTGGTATTGATAGCACGTCAGAATCATATGCAGATTCTAAATTAACCGATACGTTGACTGTAAATGGTTAAACTTGTCAACTGTTGCGCAACGAATAGGTTTACTGATAAAACATTAATCATTTGACGCTCGCAGTTTATCATGAGTCCGACATCTCTGGTTTTTTGATCTATCAAGACAGTAATATTTGTGCGCCATATTGTCCGTAAGAAGCATTTACGCTTACTTTTAGTACCACCTGATAAACACTATTGCCCTTCTTCATTACGATTATTCGATTTATTTGAGTTATTCATCATTTAAAATGTGCTTACAAACAATAATACAAATTGTAAAAGGAGTTTAAACTTCAACATGAAAACGTTATACAAATTTATTTACGGTAACAATGCAAGAGCTGCTTGTTGTAAGTACTTTTATTATTTAACCTATTTTGTGGGGCACATGCATTCCCAATAAGATTCAAAGACATTATGTCCGCTTGGCGAAATGATAACCGAACTCCCCTGCAGTACCACGTCCGAATTGTGCATTCCCCTACCTTGTGATTGGTTGCAATTCGAATTCCGAATTGGCATTAGCACAAAGATTTTTGAAATCTGCCAGTAATATTTGACGTTACAGTTCCATTGTCCCGTTCGGGCAATGAATAGGTTTCAGACTATCAAACACGTTTTCTGCATATATCCAACAATAAACGATTGTATGGTAATAGATGCAAATATAAATACACTGCGATCGTAATAATCGCTCGATGTCGGATAATTTCATCATCAGATTCGACCATCCAACTTGACATCCATCTTGCTTTTTCTCTTCAAAGTGTTGTGCTAGACCACACACATTAATAATTATCATTGTAGTAGAAACATAAATCTCTCCCAAAAATGGCATCATACAACTCACACTCACCCTCCACTCTTATTCACATCATTAT